TTCCAGCACACCACCAGGAGGCAAGTTTATTGGCATATTGTTATCAAATGACCATGACAACCTCCGGCCCACCACCTGAGATCATGAGACGTTAATGCCTGGCAATGTCAAGATACTAGATTCATGTGACTACTTTGGAAACCAAAGAATACAACTCTGGACATTTATTTTGGCCCAGATCTCCTCCAGGTCTAAGCCCTCCTTTCCTTTAAAGGCCCTTAAATACACCTAGTTTCCAACCTTCCATGCCTCAGTCACCTGAGTGCCAGCCTTCTTTCCACCTATGAAAGGTGAATAATAAACTTTACTTCCTTCTGCTTTCCTCTCTGTTGCAAGAAAGCACCGGCCCACTTTGCCCCAGTTTACCCTTTCATCTTCTTTTCTCCCCAATCTCCCCTTTAAACAGACACAGGCAGACACATATTTCACAACAAAATGAGTGGTGGGGATGCTCAGAACATCAGGGGGAGGGAGATTCATCTCCTCAGTGATAAGGACCAAGCGAGTAAGGAGAAGACAGAGAGAGGTTGAAGATTGCCCAAGTCAGAGCTAGTGGCTAGGCCCAGCCCTGGATTATGTGCTTAACAAGGTGGGTCTTGTCCTGGCTTTGCATTTAAAGAGTTCCCTAAGGTTCGGGGAATTCACTTGTCTCAGATCCCAAAAGCCATCCCCCTGGGAGGAGTGGGGCTCTGCAGCCTGACTTCAGGTCCATGCCTTCCTTCTCTGTTCCCTGCAGCCTGCTGGAAACCTCTGCAATCATTTCACTAGAAACATGCATCTCTCCTCTCTGAATTTTTTCCTAAATATGTCTTATCTCTAAATCTCTCAGCTTCTGCCACACTATACGTGGTAGTGACTACTTGTGTCTGGGACTCTCTCAGAGATACTTTCACAAGATTTTGTCTCCCTGGGTCTCACTTCCTCTCATGAACCTCTCTCCTCAGTCTTTGTGGCCTTGTTTACTTGTGACACAGAGTGGGTGGTTCCAGAATACAGAGAGATGTACAGGGAGAGATGGAGATGAAGACCAGTATCCAAGAGCAGGTCAAATGGTTCACACACGATGGGCTTGCCAGAGGAAAAGAGTCATGAAGACTGACACCTCAACAGTAAGAAATAGAACGTGCAACATCCATTTACAGACATGGACCCTGAAAGTGGGCCTGGGATTCAGAATTATGAGAGGCCAGCGAGTGCATTGACTAAATGCTGGCAACCACAGAGTGGTTGTCTAGGGTCCTAGAAAGGGAAGTTTCAATACAGTAAGATTTTATTGAGGCCACTGTATACCAGGCTTATCTGGGTGCTGGGTTCTAGGAAAGTTGGATTGTTCTTGCCCTGCAGGGTTCACAGCTGGTGGGGAGACATCCATGTAAACATATAAGGACAACAACATGGAACAGATCATGGCGGCTCCTGCAGGGAAGACACCAGTCACTGTCAGTGAAGAGATATTGGCCAGGCCCTATTGAGTCTTGTGTGCAGTAGATCCTGAGAGACAGACATGGCCCCTGCTCTCAGGAGATCACAGTATCCTTGGAAAACAGGCTATGAACTCTGTGAGAAGTAAACAAAGCCACACGGCAGGAGATGTAAGAGAGGCAACTAGAAGGCACTCTGTAAGCTGAGGGCAAGTTGCTCCAGGAAGTGTAGGAGCCTCTTTGGGAGGAATCTGAAACTCTTTGAGGAAAGAAGAGAGGAGGGCACCAGGCATCGGTACAAAGGCACATACATGGGGGAAAATATGACTTTCAAGAAGCCACAGGTGTTTCCATGTGGTTGGTGTATGGAAGGTTGTCCGTGGTATGAGATGTGTCCAGAGGAGGCCAGGTCAGGAATGCCCATGAACAACAGGTGATGGAGTTAGGTTGTCCTATAGGGTGTTACTCTGAAGCCATTTTCACATCACTGCACAGATAGAAATGTGGCAATATTCCTTTGTACATACGAGGATAGCTACAGAGGTTGCTTGGAGCCCAATGTGACTTATATCTTGGCGTACTTGTAGCTCTTCAGGATGCTCTGCAGTAGAAGGTGTCACCTTGAAGAACTGTCTACTTTGGAGTAACACAATCAGATATGTGTAATCAAAAGAGCCCCCTGGAGAATGACAAAGGAAGAAAGAATGAAAGCAGGACGTAATAGTCAAGTAAAAGGAGGTGGATTAGAGATGAGCTTTGGGTTAAACCAGCAGGACTGGTGACCCGCAGGATGTTGAAGGAGACGGAGAGGGAGAAACAGATGCTGGGCAAGTGTGAAGCAGCCCCATTGACTAAGACAGGGAAAACATGAAAGGGGCGGAGGGTCTGAGAAAGCTTCATGGAAGAGGCAACCTCCCAAGTCAGCCTTGCAGTTAGGCACAAAATAGGGTGGAGGGGAAACAGTAGGCACCAAGGCACAGAGGTAAGCCTGGTAGGTGTCCCTTCCAGGTTAAGCAGGTGAGAAGGACCAGGTGAGAAGGGCAGCCTTGTGAGAACAGGAAGCTGGGGTATGCCTGCCCAGAACATCTGGGGACCGTGGAGTTCTGACAGACAGAACCTACCAGTGATGCAGAAGGAAACTCAGGTCCCAGGACGGGTGAGTATGTATCCCTAGATAGCCCAGGCCATGGCAACTACAGGAAATTCAAACACATGGGAACCTGACCTTGGTGTTCCATGTGGGGGACAGCATGGTGGGTGGAGTTTTACAGGATTCTTGCCCTGGCCCTGAGGACCATCCACATCCTCAGCTCAGCTGCTGCTCTCTGTGGCACACCTGAGTAGAAAACAGAGGGGAGCAGGATACTTCCACAGGCTTCTCCTGCTGGCCTGAATCACTCTGTGCTCATCAGGGGTCTCCCTGTAGGTCCTCTGATGCAGAGTTGTTTCCAGGCAGCTCCACAGTCTGTCCTCCATCACCTTATCATTTTGGTAACTCATCCATCACCCACCCTATTCTTGGCTGCTTCAGAATTCAGGACTTTCTTAGATGGTCAGCCTCCAAGCCAAGGCTGTGCTATGCCCTGAGGGCTATTGCCAGTCACTGCTGCCCACGATGTGGCCCCTCAGTGAACCATGAGGGCTGAGCTGCAGCTGAAGGCCTCCCACAGTTACTGCACTTACAGGGCTTTTCTCCTGTGTGGGTCCTCTGGTGCAGGATGAAGGAGGAGCTCTGCACAAAGGCCTTTGGACAAAGCTAACACAGATAAGGCTTCTGTCCAGAATAATTTCTCAGGTATCAAATCAGAGCTGAGCAGTTGCCAAGTCCTAACTTGAAGGATTTCTTCCAGTGTGGATGTGCTGGTGCTGAGTCAGGCGGGTGACTCAGCTGAAGGCCTTCCCTCATTCATCACACCCATGGGGCTTGCCCTAGTGAGGACAACCTGTTTGGTGCTGGGGCTGGGTGAGTGCTCCAGCTGAAGACTTTCCCACATTCACTGCAGGCATACAGTGACTTCCCTGAATGGCTCTCCTGGTGCTCATCGTGGTGGAAGGGAACCTGAATACAGGAGCCTCCCCAGCTCCCTATCCCACTCAGCAGAAGTTGAAGCCCCACAGTGCCCACCAGACCCAGCATGATGGTCTCTATTCTTTGCTGATCTCTCTATTATCCCACAACCCTCATCTCCTCAGCTCCTACCTTTCTGGCTTCCTTGTCACAGACCCGCTCCCCAGCCCCTTCACTGGCTCTTCTCTCTGCCCAGAACCAGTTATCCCCAGGGCTCACCCTCCTGGACACATTCAAGTCTCTGCTGCCCAAGAAGTCTTCCCTGACCCCCAGGCAGCTTGATTCCTCTGCCCTTAGACCCCACCACATCGTCAAGCTCATGTTTTTCCTTGCACCTGCCCTCTGCCTTCTCTGTCTCCTTTGGGAGTGGGAGAACAGAACTTATGCCCCTCGGTGTCACCCCTCCCATTTCATCCCAACAGGCTGTGCTGACGGAGTGGCCCCTGGATGAATGGGAGGCCATGGGAAGGGCAGAGGCTAGGAGAAGAGGACACAGGGCCTAGAGAGTCAGTGGTGAGTGGAAAGTTCGGCCTGGCACAGGCTACAGCCCCATGAGGGAACCCAAGCAGCTCAGGGAAGCACCCACAACTCGAGCACACTTCACATCTCTGGTTGGGTGGGAAGTGCAGGTCTGAGCTGAATGTTGTGGTGCAAATATTACTCCAGATCAGTGGTGGGTGGATCTCACAGAATCCACCAGTGATGCAGAAGGAAGTTCAGCTTCCAGGAAGGGTATGTGTCCCTAGATAGCCCGGGCCATGGCAAGTACAGGAAATCCAAACACATGGGAACCTGGCCTTGGTGTCCCATGTGGGGAACAGCATGATGGGAGGAATTTTGCAGGATTCTGGGTGGGCTTGACACTGTCCCCCTGACGTCACCAGTTCCCATGGTGAGTGGGGAAGGATTCTATGACCCTCCTAGAAATAGATCCTAGTGCTGACCTGAGGATAGAGAAATTTAACGATCTCTTTATCATTCATTATAGTTTAGTTTATTAATTACCCATGATTACTGAGAGAATCCCGAGGCCCTGGTCAGCCCAGAGGTTTGCCCTTTGTTCCCACTCCGTGTAAATCCTGTCCATCTTCTGGGAAGGACAAACAAGGGAGAGGTCAGTGTCCGCCACGCCCCCTGCACTCAGGGCCTTATCACCATGACACTGGCTGGTGGTCAGAGGAAGCAATCATTATGTCCATGCTGATGGCCTTCCTGATGCTCTGGGGTGAGGCTTCTGGGGCCTGGGTGCCCTGGGGTGTGAGGGGCATGAATGGGGGTCTCACAGGTGCTGTCTCCACAGGTCTCACCCCGGGCCCAGTGACAGAGGCAGCCAAATGTGAGTACAGGCTGGGGTCTGGGGGTGGAGGCCCAGGTGGTGACTGAGACCCTAACCTGGCACCGAGCTGACCTAGCCTACCCTCACAGTTATGGATACCCAGCCCAGCCTGTGGGCTGAGCCCGAGTCACTGCAAAATCCCCAGGCCAACGTGGTGCTGACATGCCAGGCCCAAATGGTAACCCCCAACTTCCAGCTGTTCAAGAATGGAGTGTCCCTGAAGCGCATGCATCTCGACTCACCTGCCATCAAACACCAGTTTCTACTGACAGGTGACACTAAGGGGCTCTACCGCTGTCGCTCAGGCTTGTCTAGAGGATGGACCAAGCTGAGCAACCTCCTGGAGCTGACATGGCCAAGTGAGCAAAGTGAGGGGGTCCATGGGGGGTATCCATTCCTCCACATTACCTGACAGCTCTGAGCCTCATTTTTCCCATCTGTCAAAGGGGGGTGCTGTTTGTCCTGACTCCAGAGGGTACCAAGGAATAAATGATTGCACATCCATCTGGCCAGTGCCTCCTATCACCTTATCCGCTTCTTCCTCTTGAACACCTGTCCCTGTCCCTTTCCTCCACGGATGCCCTCCACCCCTCACATTTTCACAAGTGTGGGCCCAGTTCTGGGTAGCCACCAGGTATTCAGAATCATGAAGGACCATTCATCACCCCTGCTCCACCCACAGAGTCCTTTCCCCCACCCTTGCTGTCAGCGGAGCCAGTGTCCTGGATCACACCTGGCTTGGACACGAACCTGGTGTGCCTCGGGGGACTACCCGGTATGACCTTTATTCTGAGGAGGGAAGGTGATGGCAAATTTCTACAAGTAGCTGAGGCCAGGGAGGACGTGAAGGCCACCTTCCCTGTCCAACAGGCTGGCAACTACAGCTGCAGCTATCGGATCCATACAGCAGGTGCCCCCTCCGGGCCCAGTGCCACCGTGATCATCAAGGAGCTGGGTGACTACTGGACCCTCTCGGTGGGCTTCTGGGGGAGGAGGCTCCTGGAGGGCAGAGCTAGGCTGGCCTTGTCCTCTACCCTGAGTACCCCTACCCCGGCCCTGGAAGTGCCCGCGGTGACCTGGGACTGACAGTCTCAAGGCGTTTGGGCAGTGGCTGCCCAAAGAGAGAAAGGGATTCCTGAGCTGCCAAACTTAGGGCAGCGTCTGAGCCCGGGTGGAGGATGGCTCTGGCGAGACATGTGTTCCAGGTGTGGCAGCCCTGACCTCTCTGTCTTGCAGCTGTGCCGCCCCCGCCCAAGCTGAATGTCCCGAGCGAGGCCGCCGGGGTCCTGCACCCAGGCCAGCCCGCCAGCCTCCTCTGCGTGGCACCCCGAAGCGGCGTGACCTTCCAGCTGCGGCAAGGGGACAGGGTGCGGTGGGTGCCCATGAGCAGCACCACCCCGGGCCGCGCCTTCATCCACCTGGGCGCGCTGGCCCCAGGGGACAGCGGCGAATATACCTGTCGATACCGGCCGGGAGGCGAGCCTGATGTCTGGTCCGAGGACAGCGTGCCAGCCGAACTGACGCTGAGCGATGGTGCGAGGGCCAGGCGGGCGCGGGAGTGGTCTAGGGTGGGGTCTTGTACTCACCACCCAGGCCTCGCTTTCCTCAGCCGCAAGTGGGACTGTGGCGAGGCGGCCTGGAGGCCCTGCGCAGAATCACTGGGGTAACTTTCAGGTCCGACCTGGGCCACGTCGTCGCCGCCTGCCAGGTCACCTCTAGCTGCCCAGGTCTGCGTGGGTGCCGTGACTCGCCTGCTGAGGGCGACTGGGCTGCGGCCGCTACTCCGCCTACGTGCCCAGAGCTCGGTGATTTTCCGCCAACTCTGAGCACTGGACCGCGACCCACCCCCAGGGAGTTCACAGGCCCCTGGGCAGGGCGGGATCGGGGCCCGGCAGACGCTCGTGGGCGAATCCTTTGCTGAGCGCCCCTTAACATGAGATACGAGGTCCCGGACAAAACATGTTAGCATCCCAAAGGTTTATTTCGATAGACAGGCAAATTAACATGAAACGGTGAAGGGTGTGTGTGAGTCGTGCAGGAAGCAGCTGGCGGGTGGCCTAGTGTAACCAGGGCGGTCCTAGCCGGTAGGCCGCAGAGGGAGCAGGTCGGATTCTTCCAGGTGGAAGTCTCGGCCACCGCCAAGGCCGCTAGGCGGGCCGGGTTCTAGGCGGGCCAGGGTTGCGTCCCAGCCGCCCAGGCGCCGGTCAGCCCGCGTCCTCCCCCGCAGAGACGCTGCCCGCGCCCGAGCTCTCGGCGGAGCCCGCCAGTC